TTATTTACTATATATACCTATGTCCAATCTATAATTGATATTTACCAGTGTTTAGCTCAGTGTTTCTGTTGTGAGACCGTAACATACCTACAACATGGACTCTTCCAGGACTATATAAAGTATGCGATATAACACTCTAGGAGAAGAGAGAGAGAGAGAGAGAGAGAGAGAGAGAGAGAGAGAGAGAGAGAGAGAGTATTCTAATACCGTAGTATCAGCCGCGTTGACTACCAATATTGGACACTAGCACATAGTAAGCTCCGCTTACACTTACACTATCTTTGTAACCTTTTTGTTTAATATATCTTTCTTACCTCTAATCCGTGTTCCGTGTTTTCCTTCCGTGGTCACAACTTTGGGTCCACATCAGTTTCTCAATCTATGGTCCAAATGGATCCTGGTAGATTTCAGGTGGGCTACAGAAATTTTATATTTGGATATATTCTCTATAAAATGGAAGTAATTCTTTTATACTATAATAATTTCATATGTTTTGTGGCCTTGCTAGGACCAGGAATAAAGACACAAGAGATGAAATTGTGTTAAACAAATACATTAACAAAAAACAGTAATACAAATATACAAACGAGAGTGTTACAGCAAGAATGTCCGACTGTCAGAGCTGACTGCAAGAAACTTTCTTATCCAAAAAGGCAGTACCTGCTCCTATTTATAGCTGGGAGAGTCTATGCGTGCGTGGGTAAAGTATCATGACAATATGCCACAGAAAGATTCTAAGTCAGAGGTAAGAAAGTTTGGGAACATACTGAACTCTGTGACTAAGATATCTCAGTTGCTTTTACGTTCTTTGAATGCCACAACTTTACATTCTTTGAATGCCACAACTTTCGAATATGCCAGTGTTTGCTTCAATTAAAGAACACGCAGCAGCAAGAACTTTTAAAATCACATATGGATGTTGGCGTAGTGTGTAGAAAACGGCTTTCCGGTTTCAGAAATAAGGCCTTCAAATGTCAAAGATGTGACAAAAGAAGATCTCCTAAGAAGGCCAGATTCTGACTCAGTGAAAGCAGCCGTTGATGATAATCTAAACATTGCAGTTAGGAAACTCAGCGGACACTTCGACGGTGGCCACCTGATTTTTAATCGGGAAAATGAGAAGGCTTGGGAAAGTGTCAAATGCTGGAAATTGAATTCCGCATGACCACGGAAACGCAAATAATATGCTAATTATTGTCCATCATTGCATTCCAGTCAGTTTCAAGTTTTTTTTTTCTTTTGAGATTCATTACCGTCGATGAAAAGTGGGTACTTGACCATAATGTTAAGCGGAATTGATAATCACAGCGCCAAGTTCCAATTCCAGTTGGGTTATTTATATTATTCATTGACGCGCAAATACTCTTTGGAAAGGTATGAATCCACCTCTTCTCCTCCACCTATGGGCTAAGATTTGTATCAATCTAAATCATTATCATCGCAAAAAGAAAAGTTCTTACAATCTAAAAATAATTTATGACTTTAAATAACCTGAAAAGGGTTGATAAGCCGTAGAAAACGTATCAATCAATCAGTTGAGGTGAGGATTAGGCTGGATGAAAATGTATGATGGAATTCATTATTCTTATATCATTCCTAATAGATTTTATCTTTTTAAATTATTAGTTTTGCTCCAAGACTAGCATACAGAAAAATTGAATATGACAAATTCTCCTGTGAGTGTTGCTAAAATATGCCATTTTTAAAACATACTGACATTCCTGAAGTTAAAATATTTCAGAATTCATTTTTAGCAGGAAGAATTAAAAAAAAAAGGTATGCTATAATAATCATAAGGTAAATTTACTCTGGAATTTGCGGTGTCATTATATATATATATATATATATATATATATATATATATATATATATATATATGTAATCATTTAAATCATCCGACCCACCCTCGTTATTATAATGATGGAGGTATGACGGCAGATAGTTTTCCTCCATTTCAAAGACGCTAACTTCCCCAAAACGATAAGGAAGAGGGGCTGATTCTAGACTTTAATCTTTCTCCGCAAGCCGGGTGAAGGCAGTCTCAACCGCTATCTACCAGCCTCTCCACAGTAGCAGAACATGCTATACAAGGTCAATTTATTTTCGAGTGCCGTACATATAGTTCAAGGACAAAGACTACCCAGTCACCGCGACAACTGTCACGTTGGCGACTATATTTCCATCAACCCTCCCTCTTTAGCGCAAAGAGAAACATGTTAACACTCAAGAGGAATAGAGAACAGATAGTAAGATATAATCTCAAACGGAAGGTCAGAAAAGAAGTATGAACCTTGGCAGAAGTTCCACAGAGCGATTCTTCCATCTTCGGCAGTGTACACTGGCTGATCTATACGTAAAAAAAAACAACCCAAAACACGTATTTTACTGCAAGTATGTTTGTACATTTTATATGGAAAACAAATTCTTTACTAATTCTGTACAGGATGTTGCAAAAAGGAGGTGTCAGTAGCAGATATGTTCTTTTAACTCGATCTTAATTAAGAACTTTCATTCTACAGAATAAACTTTATAATTAAGCACTTTCATAATGCAGAATAAACTTTATAATTAAGCACTTTCATAATAGTTAATAAACTTTGTAATTAAGAACTTTCATAATAGTTAATAAACTTTATAATTAAGCACTTTCATAATAGTTAATAAACTTTTATAATTAAGCACTTTCATAATAGTTAATAAACTTTTGTAATTAGAACTATAATTAATAAACTTTATACTTTTCATAATAGTTAATAAACTTTATAATTAAGAACTTTCATAATAGTTAATAAACTTTATAATTAAGAACTTTCATAATAGTTAATAAACTTTATAATTAAGCAATAAACTTTATTTAAGCATAATAGTTAATAAACTTTATAATTAAGCACTTTCATTATAGTTAATAAACTTTGTAAACTTTAGTTAATAAACTTTATAATAATTTAATAAACTTTATAATTAAGAACTTTCAAATAGTTAATAAACTTTTGTAATTAAGAACTTTATAATTTAATAAACTTTATAATTAAGCACATTCATAGTTAATAAACTTTGTAATTAAGAACTTTCATAATAGTTAATAAACTTTATAATTAAGCACTTTCATAATAGTTAATAAACTTTATAATTAAGCACTTTCATTAACTTTCAATAATAGTTAATAAAAACTTTTCATAATTATTAATTTGTAATTAAGAACTTTCATAATAGTTAATAAACTTTATAATTAAGCACTTTCATTATAGTTAATAAACTTTATAATTAAGCACTTTCATAATAGTTAATAAACTTTATAATTAAGCACTTTCATAATAGTTAATAAACTTTATAATTAAGCACTTTCATAATAGTTAATAAACTTTGTAATTAAGAACTTTCATAATAGTTAATAAACTTTGTAATTAAGAACTTTATTAATAAACTTTAAATTAAGCACTTTCATAATAGTTAATAAACTTTTGTAATTAAGAACTTTCATAATAGTTAATAAACTTTATAGATAAGCACTTTCAGATAAACTTTGTAATTAAGAACTTTCATAATAGTTAATAAACTTTATAATTAAGCACTTTCATAATAGTTAATAAACTTTATAATTAAGCACTTTCATAATAGTTAATAAACTTTGTAATTAAGAACTTTCATAATAGTTAATAAACTTTATAATTAAGCACTTTCATTATAGTTAATAAACTTTATAATTAATTATTTCAGTTAATAAACTTTCAATTATAGTTAATAAACTTTGTATAAACTTTCATAATTAAGAACTTTACTTTCATAATAGTTAATAAACTTTATAATTAAGAACTTTCATAATTAAGTTAACTTTCAATTAAGAGTTTCATAATAGTTTAAACTTTATAATTAAGAACTTTCATAATAGTTAATAAACTTTATAATTAAGCACTTTCATAATAGTTAATAAACTTTGTAATTAAGAACTTTCATAATAGTTAATAAACTTTATAATTAAGCACTTTAATAAACTTTATAATTAAGAACTTTCATAATAGTTAATAAACTTTATAATTAAGAACTTTCATAATAGTTAATAAACTTTATAATTAAGAACTTTCATTATAGTTAATAAACTTTGTAATTAAGAACTTTCATAATAGTTAATAAACTTTATAATTAATTTCATAATAGTTAATAAACTTTATAATTAAGAACTTTCATAATAGTTAATAAACTTTGTAATTAAGAACTTTCATAATAGTTAATAAACTTTATAATTAAGAACTTTCATAATAAATAAACTTTGTAATTAAGAACTTTCATAATAGTTAATAAACTTTATAATTAAGCACTTTCATTAATAAATAAACTTTGTAATTAAGAACTTTCATAATAGTTAATAAACTTTATAATTAAGCACTTTATTTGTAATTAAGAACTTTCATAATAGTTAATAAACTTTATAATTAAGCACTTTCATAATTAGTTAATAAACTTTATAATTAAGAACTTTCATAATAGTTAATAAACTTTATAATTAAATAGTTAATTTTTTATTAATAGTTAATAAACTTTATAATTAAGCTTTCATAATAGTTAATAAACTTTGTAATTAAGAACTTTCATAATAGTTAATAAACTTTATAATTAAGCACTTTCATAATAGTTAATAAACTTTGTAATTAAGAACTTTCATAATAGTTAATAAACTTTATAATTAAGCACTTTCATAATAGTTAATAAACTTTGTAATTAAGAACTTTCATAATAGTTAATAAACTTTATAATTAAGCACTTTCATAATAGTTAATAAACTTTATAATTAAGCACTTTCATAATAGTTAATAAACTTTGTAATTAAGAACTTTCATAATAGTTAATAAACTTTGTAATTAAGAACTTTCATAATAGAAAATAAACTTTATAATTAAGAATTTTAATAATAAAGCATAAACTTTATAATTAAGACACTTTCATAATGCAGAATAAACTTTATATTAAACACTTACTTAACACAGAACAAACTTAATAATGACGTTCAAAATCAAAACATTTCGGAGTTATTTTTAAATATGCTTTAAACTATCGGGACTATTCATATTTAAACTAATGTAAAGCTTGAGCCATCGCCTTAAAAGATCACCTTACGTGTTTCCTGCCATCAGCATGACTGATACTAACCTGCAGAAGAATGGCACATGTATGGAATCAATTCCTAGGTCAGCTGCTAGAAGAGTTGGATCACTTTTTTCTCCAGATTCTTTCTTACATATTTATAAGTCTACCCTTCGTCCCTCCATTAAATATTTCTACCACATCTGGTCTGGTACTTCTCTTATTTATTTATAGAGTCTTGTTAAAATAGGAAGAAAAATCATCAGTGTTATTTGCTCTGACCTGGCATCTCGGATTATCACTTTCCCACGAAACGTAACTTCCCAGTGGCTTTTCTATAAATACTTTCATGATAACTGTTCTGATTATGTTCTTCTCTCCCCCCACCACGAAAATTGTACATATGTGGACTAATCAGAGAGACTCTGTGGTATTGTGGTAGCTGTAGTAAGAATGGCAGTGTAAGAATGTATTGTTTTGATACTGTGGTATATTTGGATCTGTGTTTGTGCCTAACTTAGTTTAATTATAATGCAAGATGAAGACTAGCCTTTCCCCACCCGCTTTTTGGCCTTGTGTTACATTTTTGTATTCACAAAATAAAAAAATATTTTCTTCTCCTCCCCCCAGAGACAAATTGTACACATGGGGACTAGTTAGGACTTTATAGAGACTCCGCAGTATTATGGTGGGTGTAGTAAGAATGGTAAGTAAGAATATGTTGTTTTGGTGTAAAGAATACTGTGGTATATTTGGATCAGTGTTTGTGGCTAGCTAAGTATAATTATAAGTCAGATGAAGACTGGTCACTCCATCCTCCTTTTTGGCCTTGTGCCACATATTTTATTTTTAACAAAAACAAATATTACTTTCTTCTTTTGTACCTAAATTTTATGAATTTAAGCGCAGTACTAGATTGGCAGGGAGGTCTCATCATTTTATAGTTTAAATGGCTACATGTAGCCATAAGTTCTGTGCTAATAGTTTATTCTATCGTACCTCTCAATGGTAGAACACTCATCCGATTTCTTGCTTTGAAGTCAACTTTAATCTTTAATGTCAATCAATATATTCTGTCTTCTTGATTCCTGTTCTTTTATTGTTCTCTGCCCTAAATAATGTTTTTGTTTTTCTTTTCTAATATTTTCACACTCATTAACCCTTTGCGTCTTAGTGGCTGTATTGCCTTGCTTGGGGTGAAATGATTTATATGAAAATTCTATTCGATTACTATTTTCTGTGATATAATCAGCATGAACATTTTCTTTAATATATCCATGTCAGAAAAATCAAGCGCTGTTAAAACTGCCTCTTCATTTGCGATCTATGCATTGAAATGATTTGTTAAAATAAGATCTGACATCCTAATGGAAGGCAGGACGTGTTTCCTCTCGGTGGAAATCAAATCTTTCCTCTTTATACAATAACGAAGAATTCCTCGTCCAATTTAATTGGACTTTGAAACCTGAAACATGTATATAATCATACGGGTTGGGGGTGGGGAGACCAGATTTATACAAGAAGGTTGATTTCGTTTCAATGTCAAATATCAAAATTAATAATTGCTAAAGATGCAATTGGTACAAAATGCAATTGTGTGAAAAAGTAGCAAAACGAAATGAAGGTAAATAACATCCAAAAACAGACAGACAGACATATAGATAGATAGATAAGATAGATAGATAGATAGATAGATAGATAGATAGATAGAAGCAGAAAAATACATTGACATAAACAGTTAGAGAGATAGACAACAATAGACGGAAAGACAGACTGACAGATAGATAGATACACAATTCATACCCGATAGATAAATAGATAGATATGAATAAGTCATAAATAGATTGATAGGTAGATCGGTAGAAAAGTATACAATAGACAGAAAATCAGACTGACCGCTAGCTAGCTAGATGCACAACTTATGCAAGATAGATAGATAGATAGATAGATAGATAGATAGATAGATAGATAGATAGATATGAATACACTTAAATAGATTGACAGATATAAAAGTTACAGAGGTATTCAGCAATAGACAGAAAGAGAGGCTGGGTGTTAACTAGTTAAGTAATAATTAACTACACAGCTCATACAAAATAGATATATACTAGCAGCATGGCCCGGCGTTGCCCCTGCTTGATTAAAAAATCGTACGACTCATACAGCAATCGCTATCACTTGACTTAAAATATTTTTGCCCTTCCTTGCCTGTAAAGGAGTGCCCTTTGCCCTGCTGATGTTGCTACATGCCTTACTTCTTGCCTATCTCACACTGTGAATTTTTTCTAAGCTCTATACTAAACATTAAATCTGTTATGAAAAAAGAACTAAACAAAACGAACACAAAACGATCAGATTTAAAAAAGGAATCGTAACTGGAAAAACCGAATGAAAAAAGAATGTTAACAACAAATACTTTTTCACACCCAAACCCAGTTCTGCGGAATCAGAATCAACGTTGAGTTTAAGCAAGCGAATGAGACAATTGGAGTAAAGTGCCATGCAGATTTAAATTTTTCCCACTTGTGACGAATGCAGCTATCGATTTTTTTTTGCCTGCTAGCATGCTAGTTAACATTCGTGTCAGTCAGCTGTTGGCTCTCACGCTGGCCAATAGAATCTTCCTACCTATTTGTGGCAGCCAGCTATAGGCTCTCACTCTGGCCAGTAGAAAATGGCCGCAAACTACATGAAAACTGCCGTAGAAGCATGAAAAAAATCGATTATTTCCACTATGGATGAGAGTTGGGAAATTCAAAGTCGGTCTTGACCTTTCCGCAAACTTGGAGCATGTGCATGTACATTTTGGTGCAAATCCGTCGAAAATTGCGGCCGCATTCGTTACGTGCACACACACACACACACACACACACACACACACACACACACACACACACACACACACACACACACATCCTGCCTTTTATAGATCGAGATGAACAAACTTAAATAGATTGGCAGGTACACAGTTTGAGATATATACAACAATAGACAGAAAAACAGGCTGACAGATAGCTAGATAGATAGATATAAAGATAAATAGAAAGACGGACACAGATACGGACACAGATTGAGGCTAACTGAATAAGATAGATATGAACATAGAATGATAAATGGATAGATAGATTTGAACGGACTAAAGTAAATACAATAGATAGATAGATAGATAGATAGATAGATAGATAGATAGATAGATAGGAGAAAGGCTTTCAGATAGATTTTTAGTAGAGAGAGAAGAAAAATGAGACACCGAGATAGATAGATAGATAGATAGATAGATAGATAGATCAGGGAGAGACGGTTGCAGATAGATTAGTATTGGTGAAAGATGAAAAGAGTAACACACTGTGATAGATAGAGAGAGACAAACAGAGAGATCCACACAGATAGAGAGAGAAGCTTACAGATAGATTAGTAGTGGAGAGAGAAAAAAGAGAGACAATGTGATAGATAGATAGATAGATAGATAGATAGATAGATAGATATGAACGAATTTAATGGATGTAAAGTAATTTCATGTACTTAAACAGGTTTAAAAATAACCCGGATATTCTCATTTTAGGCACTGTATATCAAGAATATTTTTTTTTATAAAAACAAACTAAAAAAGTTGCTAAACAAAGCAGTATATTTTGCTTATATTACTGTTCTCAATTCTCAGATTCATGTCATTAAAGCCCGCTCATCTGAATAAGTTTTAGAACAAAATTGAAATTGATTTATATTTCCAAATTCTTTTTTCTTTGTTCAAAACTGATAAAGCCATTATAAAAAAAAAATGATTTATTTTTGGTAATCGTACGTTCAAAATCTGTCCTCAGCAAAGACTGGCAAGTTGTATTAAACATAATTGCTGGTTGCCCGTTTCCGAGGGGTGGTGGCTCGTCAGAACACACGCCATAGAAACTGATAGAGCAGCGAGAGTCTCGAGACTTTTCGTCTGTGGGGAAACGGGTTGTAGGTTGGAATATTTCACCATACACAAGGACGTGTAGAATGATTTTGATAGGCATAGTCAAATAGCAAAAAGAAAAGACAACTCTGTCGAACCGGAGCATACTCTGGCTGCCTGACCTTCTCCTGCAGCAATTATGATGTGGAAAAAAAAAAAGCCGCATCTATTGCATGGAGCTAACTACCCATCAAAGAATTTCTAACAGATGTAGAACACCTTTGAAATTATTCGTACGCGAAAAGAAAACATGATATAGTAATTAGTGAGATATAGAAAGAGATAGAATAAGTGATAGAAAGAGCTCCTTAGAGTATTTGATGCTGGAGTCACAAAACTAGCAAGTCAATAAAAATCATTGATCTTAGTCTCTTTTCTCCGAAACACGCATGCGTACAGAGTAACATTCAAGACTTGAGGGCGGAAGACTAAGAATAAATTTAAATGCATTTTTGCAGATTGGACTGCGCTAAAAATTGCAGGAAATATTCGTAAAATCCTGTTTTATCTAATACTACAGTTTTTTTTTCTATAATTTCTTTTAACCCTGCTGCATTTTATGCAAATTTACCACGGTTTTATGCGCGGGTAGCATACCAGTCATTGAACTGGAATCAAGAAATTGAATTCAATTTATATCCGTTTGCGTTCACTTCCGCACGAATTTTCTTTGTAAAGGCATGAATCCAACCCATCTTTCCATAGATATATGTCAAATAGCAGGGTACTAGGACCTCCATTCTAGCTGAAGGGTAACTATGAGTTCAAAACCATGCAGAAGGTAACGGGTTCAACTGTCTTTCAGGACGTTGGCGATCGTGGCTCTCCACAATTTGTAGCCCACAGTAAATTTTCTATATTCGTTATCTCTCCTAATCCCTGTCCCGCCAACCATTTACATTTAGGTAGGATATACTTTACTTTCCTCTGTCCTCCCGCCCCTCCTATTTTTAATTAGTCCTGTCAGTGTCAAATTTTCTAAGCCCTCTTTCCTCATTAGAAATTTCAACTGTCTTTTTTCGATATTAATTATAAGCGTCCCTTTTGTTTCCATTTTCTCTAAAGCTTCGTTGTTGTTCACATGTTCAGTTCATGGTATTCTCAGCATCCTTCTGTAGAGCAACATTTCTGTTGCTTCTAATCTCTATTTCATCTGTGTTGTGCTTGTCCAGAATTCGCTGCCATATCAGAGGACTGATATTACATGAGAGTTACACATTCTTTTTTTGTTTCTATCGATATTGTCCTGTTTCTTAACACTTTGCTTAGCTTTTGGAAAACATCTTCGGAAGGCGCCATCGGATTTCAGTGTCGTATTTTCCGAGATATTTAAATCTTTGTAGTTGCTTGATGTTGCCATCTTTAATGTTTCATTGATGATAAAGAAATGAAATCTCATGACCTATATAACGAATGGGCAAAGCATAAAAAGATGTCATTCTCATCACCATCAAATCTGTAGAGACCAGGTAGATTATAGAGAGGGGTAAATTTCATATTTCTATTAAGCATGTTTTATATTGGGGTAGGAGGAGTGACCTAATCGTGACCTATTTAGATGGTTAATTTAACGGAAATGATATATAGGCTCGTTAACTACAACTATCACCCTCCCTGTTAAATTACAAAAATTACACTACCCATCAATTTCTAATCCCATTTTTCCTTTCATTTCGTTGTTGGAAGTGTTACCTAATGATCCGGAGTCCTTCAAAAGGATTTTGGTGAAATAAATTATTGTAATGGTACCTTAAAGTGGTCTGTTTTTTCATTAAATATATATATATATATATATATATATATATATATATATATATATATATATATATATGAGAAAGATTGTGTTTGCATGTCTGTATGTATGTATGTTTTTTTTTGTACAGCGACTGAGCGCATGTCTTTTTATAAAGAAAAATTGATGGAGAACAGTAAACACCAAACTTCAATAAAATCCAACTGTTTTATTTAGAGAGGGGTTAAAAAATTAATTAAAAATGACCAAATAATCAAACAAATTAGTAATAGTTAAATCATAATAAAATAATAATAGTTAAATCATAATAAAATAATAATTGATAAAATTAAATTAAAAAAACAAATAAGACACAAATTAAAGAAAAATAAATAAATAAATAAATAAATAATAATAATAATAATAATAATAATAATAATAATACTAATAATAATAATAAAAACAAGCAACATAAAATCGAACGACCATTTTCTCGAAAATAAGCTCTGAATTGCAAACTACGAACCCCAATAAAACTAAGAAAATATTGAATTAGAGAAAAGCTTTTAATTGCTTTTATGAATAATATATGTTAAGGATAATATTTTTTGAAGCGAAAAAATCCGATGATAAACGAATGTTTACAAGAATTGTTTTGTCTTTTTTTTTTTACAATTTTAATTACAATAATTTATAATTAATAATATCTTTGGTAACAAAGAAAAGAATACTGAACTGTTACGTGACATCTGTTCTTCTTTACGGCAGTGAATATTGGACAATTTTCTTCAAATATGAAAAAACAAATCGAGGCGACGGAGATGTGATTCAACAGAAGGATGCTATCATGGACTGAGCATGTGAGCAACGATGAGGTCTAAGTGAGGTTGCAAACAAGGAGGGGGTTTATACTTAACATCAGGAAGAGGCAACTGAAGTTTCTGGGACACATAATGAGGAAGGAGGGCGTGGAGAATCTGATACTCACACGTCGAATGGCGTGAAAGAGAGACAAGGGAAAACAACACGTGACATACCTGGCGGACTTAAGAAAGTGAATGACAGAACGTGGTCTGGGGGAGGAAGCAGAGGGAGGGAACTTGTTGAGAGCTGTAATGGATAGAGAGAAGTGGAGAGCCATATATATATATATATATATATATATATATATATATATATATATACGGATGTTCATACATGACATTATCATTAAAAAGTCACGTGTTTTAAGGGTTGTTTATAATTTTCTAATTGAGATAATGTAAAATAATAAATAAAATAACATACAATTTCATAACAGGTGTACGTAAAAATTATAGGTACGTCTCTTATTTATGAAATTTTATGTTAAATTATTTTTATATTACCTTAGTTATGAAATTTATTTTATCGTTATATGGATATTAAATTATTATTATTATTATTATTATTATTATTATTATTATTATCATTACCATTATCATTATCATCATCATTCGATTTCTGCTATGGACACACTACCTACCAAGTCTGCGGAAAGACCTAAGGCAGGTCGTGGTGTGTTGTTATGGCCACATTTCGGTGAAGTTGCTAGCGTTACATAGACAAAGTTCTCCTTAGTGTGTGTGCTGTACTTAATAAGACAATTTTCTGTATGTCTCTTAAGCTGGGGTTTCCAGGATTCTTTCAATGTGTTGTTTTGTTCCATTTTTTATAATTCCAAGTGCACCTATTACCACTGGTATTATTCTTGTTTTCAATTTCCACATTTTTTTCTATTTCAATTTCCAGGTCTTTGTATTTTGATAGTTTTTTCAAATTCCTTGGTTGCTATGTTACAATCCGCTGGACAAGCCATATCAATTAGTAGGCAAGTTTTTTCTTTCTGGTTTTTGACAACAATGTCCGGCCTATTTGCTTCAATTTTCTGTCTGTGTGGATGGTATAATCCCATAGAATGGTGACATCTTCTATTTCTGTAACCGGCGCTGGCCGATGTTCATACCAGTGTTTGCTTACACATTTTCCAAAGTGTTTGCACATTGTCCAGTGTAAGTATTGCCCCACTCTATCGTGACGATTTTTATATTCATTTGGGGCAAGTATAGAACATCCTGAGATTAGATGGTCTATTGTTTCTTGGTATTTGTCACAGAACCTGCATTTTGGATCCACATTATTATGTATGATATTTGCCTGAAAATTCCTAGTGAAAAGACTCTGGTCTTGCGCTGCAAGAATAAAGCCTTCAGTTTCAGACTTTAATCCAGATGCTCGTAACCATCGATGAGTATTAACTTTATCAACATTGGGTTTATTTGCACGTTCTGGATATTGGCCATGCAGAGGTTTGTCTTGCCAGCGTTGTTTCATCTGTTCAAGGGCTTTATCCTTGGCTTTCTTTTTCATATCTTTTGCTGCAATAGTTGGTTCTTGGCTTCTGTTTTGATTTACTACAGAATCTACTAAATGTAAATGTTGTTTGTATTTACTGCCTTCTTTTATTATTGAATATTTTTTCTTTCTTATTATTATTATTATTATTATTATTATTATTATTATTATTATTATTATTCCGGAAAGACTCTTTAAACTCATGGTTATAAAGCTAAAGTACCTAAAAATTAATAAAATATTAGACTGCTTAAAATAATTGTTAATTTGTAAAATTTACTGGGTACTTTAGTAAGTTAACGTAAAATTCGTAAAATTTGTCCCTTCTGTTCATCCATCCTATAATTCTTCTAACGTCAGGTATTAATACCATGAAACAACGAATTACCGGAGTTAAGAAATGCTTTTCTTATTTTCTACGTTTTTTTCTGCTAAAAATGAAAGTACTGGTTGATTCAAGTTAGATTAAGTAAACTTTAATTTTTTAAAATTTTACTCAAATAAACTTTGATAAATGTATATTTTATTTTTGCAACATTTTTAGAACGGAGAATTTAACTTTTATTTACAAATGTCTCAAAATGGCAGACATAATCTATTTTACTGAAAAAACAAAGGTTATTCCAATCCAAATAAATTCGGTTTTAAATACACCAAAGGATTTTGATCACTGGGTATAGTAAATTTGTTCCTTTACTTTTGAATTAAAGCTAAAAAGAAAGTTTCAAAAACGAGTTTTCATTTTTTAAAATTAATTTTAAACTATAGGTATGTCATTTTTCGGTCAATTAGTGAATATCCCTATAAGAATATGATATACTCTTGAACAAAAATTTAAAAGTGTCCATTTATTCATAAAAATGGATAATGACTTAGTCTTGCTATGTCTATTTACAAAGCACAAGGCCCGACTCTATCCATTACTGAACTACAGTTCGAAGAATCCTGTTTCTCTCATGGCCAGTTTTATGTCGGTTGTTCACGTTTGTGAAATGAAACCCATTTATGCTCCACAAGGAAAGACAAAGAATAATGTCTACCAAGAAGTATTGGAATGTAAAAACTGTTTAAAAGTATTTTTTGTGTTTGAATAAACGAATTTGAATTTATATTGTTGATATAGAGTTATTTTTCACTTTTGAAATCCTGGTAGCTTTGCTAGTACATATATAAATTTAATAATTATTTTTTAAAGCTTCGAAAAGACGCGTCGTATCTCCTTGAGTTCGGAACGCGATAACTTATACTAACGTTGCTTAACAAGTCAAATGAACGTGAAGCCAGATTAACCAATGAAAATGAAACAGCACAAAAATAAAAATACCTGAATTTCTTTCTTTTTCCCCTACATATCTCATTCTCTGATAGAGCTTTAATAAGAGTAAAACATGAAATTGATAATATTTCCTATTTGTTATTTATCCTATCATTCTGTCGGGTTCCGATCCATCTGTAATCTATTTTTGATCCCAATTAATATATATATATATATATATATATATTATAAAATGTTATATTGGAACATGCAAGTAACCACGACAAAAATGCATATTTGTTTCGATGTCTAATTTAGACATCTCATCAGGTGGTTAACATTGGTGGTAAAAAACGATTTTATTTAAAAGTATAATTTATGGAACATCACTTCTTTTTAAATTTTTGAAAATTTTCCATACAAAGCTAAGAAACAAATATATATAAAAAAATTCTATAAAAGGAAAAGAAAGAAAAAAGCAGATTAAAGTACAAAAAAAAAAGAAAAAAGAAGAGAATAAGAAATCAATAAAAAGAAAATAAGTTATAAAAAGTTGTTGATACCAGTTTCTGGTATCAACAACTTTTCATATCTTATTTTCTTCTCTTTCCTTTTCCTGTGTATCTGTAAATTTTGGATATACTCCTCTACTTCTTTTTTTATTTTTTTTTTAATTTCGCTTGATGATGGAACAGAGCTTATTTTAACTCAATTTAATTTAAATAATTATATTGAAGTTTTCGGCTCTTGTTTTGAAACATGAGACTTCTTATGTAGCGTTTTGGAATCATATTTTTAAATAAATAATTATATTTATGCTCTACTTTTGTATCGAGCACTATTTTTAAAAAATAATAACTAAAATACTAAGGGACTTTGGATTATTTACCTAACCAGTTCCTTCCTATTCTCTATATATTTTCACATGTATATATATATATATATATATATATATATATATATATATATATATATATATATATGTATAGATAGATAGATAGATCATTAACATGATTCATAATCTAACTAGACTTCTGAGTTATACTGAGGAATGAATCAACCACACTTTTTGAAGGGCTGAATACAGAGACTTGGTGCACTACGTACCACAGGGTCCCCAAACGACCCTCCGCAGGTTTTGAATTCAGAGTTGTCCTTCTCGTAGACCAGTTGCCATCCATGGCTATAGAGCCCAGTCTGTCCTAATATTTACCCATAGCTGGAGGGAGAAGAAGAGGATTCACACCTATCCCAAGGGTATTAGCATGTAAGAGAATGTAATGGATTCGACTGGAATTCGAACTCGGCTCTCCTCAATCCGATTACTCCACCGGGCCTCAAGAAATCAAATACTAAAGTTATTTATAAAATGGTTACATAGTAAGTGGAATTCTAATTCGGCTCTCCGATTCCTCAATCCGAGCCGCTATCCACTGTCTTCTCTCTCTCTCTCTCTCTTTCTCTCTCTCTCCCTCTCTCTCTCTCTCTATATATATATATATATATGGGTGTGTTTCTAAAAATAAAATACGCTAAAATCCACCTTCATCGTGCGTCGACGGCTTAAGGGTTAGAATCTCCGACTGACACTAAGTCAGTCGGGTTTCAATCATAGCTAGAGGCAACCGGATGTCTAGCCACACTGATGAGCTGCGAAACAGTCTGTCTGTCGATGACGTTATATATATATATATATATATATATATATATATACACACTGTTTACCTCTTGGTATATTTATACTTAATCTGAGCGTTTTTAGATGCTGAAAGTGTGAGTATCAGAATGAAAACTGTTTTCAGACCAAATCTTCGATCAAATTTACGTGAAACTGAAAAAGCTAGTAGTGTTAATTCCTTTGTAGACAATATTAAGTCACATACTCACAGACGTTCCATAGACTTCGCTGAGGAGTATGGAGCCTCACCTTGTGGCTGTGGTTTCCAAAGCAAATAAGTTTTTACAAAATGTAGTTACTAGTCCCATCCACAAAGAATTTTGAATTCCGATTTGACTTCACTTAGACTGATTGTCAACTATGACAGGAAGGCTCAGTCTACTTTGTTATTTAACTCATAGCTCGCCTGGTGGCGAGAAGAAATGAATTCATTATTTTGCCAATGTTATTAGTGGGAAAGTGTATGCAACAAACCCAAATTCTAATTGGTCTCACAGGTTACTCGTTCTGAACTGCTAACCATTCCTTCACATCGCCTATCAATAAATGAAATAACCAATTACTGTGGCCCTGTGCCAGTCTTAGCTATGTTGAACAAATATCTTTACTTAATTATGTCTGAAGATGCATATATCTTTTCTCCTTCTCTGCAATTCGTTTACTTTTTAGTTAAGAGGCTATTTTTTCATTAAGCAAGAACAAGACTAGATAAAAAAATACAAAAAAAGAAACAAAAATCATATTGTTTATAATTTGCAATATTTTCTTTGATGGAGATTAGAAGATCGTTAGCGTTATGAAGATTTTACGAAGCATCCACTTGATATCAAAGATTTGTTCAGGCAAGGAAATTATTTTGAAAGATGGATGTTAAAAGAACAAAATGAATAGAAAAAAAACGTAAATAGAAACTGTATGAAGTATTGGAAAATAAGAAAAAAAGCAGAGATAAAAGAAAAGAAAAACGTTTCGAAAGAAGTGAAAAAATAGTCTAAAAGAGAAAAAGTAGATGTAAACAGAGAATAAAAGAGAAAATAGATATAAAGAGAGAGTAAAAGAGAAAAAATACATATAAAGAGAGAGTAAAAGAGAAAAAATAGATATAAAGAGAGAGTAAAAAAAATAAAAATAGATAAAAGAGAGAAAAAATAGATATAAAGAGAGAGTAAAAGAGAAAAAATAGATATAAAGAGAGAGTAAAAGAGAAAAAATAGATATAAAGAGAGAGTAAAAGAGAAAAAATAGATATAAAGAGAGAGTAAAAGAGAAAAAAAAATCAGAAAGAAGATGGCAAAGAATAGATAGGCGGCATTTTTTCCTGAAGTGAAGGAGTAGAAAGAAAAATAAAAAAAAAGACGTGGGGGTGGATAACGATTCGAGTGAAGCAAAAACAGGGAGGGGAGAGGGAGAGAGACAGCAGAAAGTATAAAGTAGCGTTACAAAGAGGTAATGAAATTTATAGGAACAAAAAAAACAGATACAGTCAAAGAAAATGCGTACCTCAACGTGGCGTAATGGTTACTGAGCTTGTCTCGCTAGATCAATTATGACTGAGTAGTGAGTAGTGGGTACTTTACGCTTTGTGCCACATCTATGATTAGAAAATCGCTATACAGTCAATGGGAAAGCGAGAAAGAAAAAAAAAAGAAGGATATATCAGCGAAAGACAGCGTAAAAGAAAAACATTAAAAAAAAGTAATATGAAAGAGGCGGACCGAAAGAAAAGAAAACTAAAAAGAAGATAGCAGCACGTGAAAAGAAAGATATGTAGAAAAAGAGTAATATAGAAAAAAAGAATGAAAAAGGCTTTAAAGTTAAAAGACAACGAGAAAAGAATAAGGAAGAAAAACGAAAGAAAGAAGAGAACAAATGCTAAACAGCAATTGAAAATTGCTAGATCTGCTGCGAGAAAAATGTTAGTTCGTTTTTACATGCTAGAGAATTTTTTCTCGCCTAAATCTATCTTGCATATTTATAAGTCTACCATTCGTTCATGCATTAAATATTGCTGCCACATCTTGCCTGGTGCTTCTGTTATCTATTTAGAGATTCTTGATCAGATACAATGAAGAATCTGCAATGTTATTGGTTCAGACTTGGCATCTCAGCTTCAAACAATTTCCCACCGCAGTAACAAAGATTTCCCGTGCCTTTTTGTTGTAACTGAGTTATCCAAAAAAACAGAAGAAAACCAGAATTGGTTTAACAACAAGTTTATTATATTTTGGTACAAGGAAAAACAATGTAGAATAGAAACTAATTTTAAGTTTGTCAGAAATAGTGACAGAGTTAGGAAACTCTGCACTAAGGAATCATACGTAAAAATCAAGAACCATAAAGCTGATTTTGAAGCTAATCTTCACATCATGATTATCAACCCTACGAGGCCAGAAATTAGAAAGAATTATCCTTGATAGTGTCAAGAAGCTGATTAAATGGCGCCTTGGATTGGTATAATGGATTAATACAACTGATGTCATCAATTGGTTTAATAATATAAATGATAAAACTAATTGTTCAATGATCCAGTCTGATATTGTGAATTATTACCGATCCATTTCTAGAGGTCTCTTTACGTTGAGTCTGGAATTCGCCACTGAGGATTTTGATCTTCCAAACGAGGAACCGGAAGTTATTATAAACTCCTTATCCATAACAAAGAAGAATGGATTAAAAATAATTCAGTTGACCAATTTGATGACCAACTCTGCTGAGTCTTCCAACCTTGTTGGTTTATTCATCTTATATAACCTTAGTGTCTACCAAAATATCAACATAGAAGACATAGATTCATATAGAGATGACGGCATGATTGTGGTCATCTTCAAAAATTAAAATTGACAAAATCAGGAAATCAATACATAAGGAATTTAAAAGTCTAAAGCTTAAAGTTAAAATCAACACAAATTTTGAAAAATAGTAGATTTCCTTGATGTAACAATAGACTTAGTCAATAACACATACTAACCCTACATGAAAACACGCAAATCCAATATATATCCACCCAAATTCTATTCACTCTCCATCTCCAAACACATACTCCCCTCTTTAGAATATAGAATTAGTAATATCTTTTCCAGTGAAGATGTATTTTATAAACATAGCAAATTTTACAACACCGCCTCAAAAAATAGTGGCTATAAGTACACTAACATTTAATATTTTAAACATAACAGTGATAGTAAGAAAAAGAATAGAAACTGAAAAATAATTTGGTAGACACCCCCCATTTAACCAAATGGTTAGTACTAAGCTAGGGCAGAAGTTTCTCAATTTAATTGAGAAACACTGCCCCAGAAATAATCCTCTTCGTAAGATTTTTAATAAAATACACTTAAATTAAGCTATAGTTGTACAGATAATCTGAAAAGAAATATTAAAAAATACAATAATAAAATTTTAAATTAACACTTAAACCTAAGTAAAAATCGTCATTCCAAAGCAGCAAACAATGAAGATACCAACTTGTGTAATTGTAGAATTCCTAATGACTGTCTATTAGAAAATATATGTCAAACTGATTCCCTTGTTTATATAAGTACTATTTCATCTAGAAAAAATCCAAAAGTTAATAAATTTTATATCGGCAGTACCAAGAATTCCTTTAAAACTAGGTGGTATCAACCTATATTATCTTTCAAAAACAATGCGTACAACAATAGAACGTTCTATTCTAAATATTTTTGGTACTGAAAAGAAGTTAACAAAACTCCTACGGTAAAATGGAAAATATCAAAAAGCTAGAACTTGTAAATCCTTAGATGATCTATGTTCTCTGTGTTTACAAGAAAATTACATATTATAAAGCTTGCTAACAAAAAAAGCTCTATTAAACTAAAGAAATAAATTAACGGTGTTATGCCGGCATTGTCTATCTTTTACCTTAAAATATAATTAAATTTTTTTTCATAAATAATTACGTATTACAATTGTATAGCCATTATTTTATTAATATATAATGGTCAACCCAATATTTATTTGATTTATTCAACTTTAATATTGCCATGTTTTACGGTCTATTCAGTATAATTATCATTGTATATAGATGTTCCTTTTAATTTTACCTATTGGCCACATTAAGAAGCTTCCTAAATGTAAAAATAAAACCAATGTTTCTGATAACTTTATGTCTACTTCAACAAATCGGAACATCATATTTGGCTACATCCATAATACATTTGTCACTGCCATGTTTCCTACGATCGTTGGATGACATGTCCAAGCGTCAATTTATCTTGACATGAAAAAATAACCACCCACCTCTACCCTCTGACCTTATTTTTCTATTTTTAGCGCTTTTAATTGGTTAACAAGTATATATTAATTCTGACCTTATGCCCCACCCCCTCGTTAACTTCCGGAAAGAGGTAATGATTTTTTTAAAATCCCCAATAAATCATTTTTATCACAAGCTATCTACCATCGCCTGAGGAAGTACAACCATAGTATTAAAACATGAAAGCTTTTGTGTATCGATGTAAACTGTTTTTATTATAATCTATTATAATAAAAATATTATAATAATAAACTATATATATATATCTTAGTTATGGTACCTATACTTTTTGAATTTACGGGAAGTACTAGACTGGCGCCTAGATCTCTGCAGTTTATAGTTGAGCTGGATAGATGTAGCCGTAAATTTTATGCTAACAGTTTCTTTTCTCGCACTTCTCTGTTGTGGAACTAGTTTCCGGTTCTATGTTTTCCAGCCAACTTCAATCTGCAAAAAAAATGTTAATGCAATTTCAATCGCTATCTACTATCCTCCTAATTGCTCTTTTTTCTTCCTGCTCATTATTAATGAATTTTGTTCCTAATTCTTCACGCTCTGTAACCACTTGTGTCTTAGTGGCTTTGCATGGGTGATGCCGATATATATATATATATATATATATATATATATATATATATAGATATAGGGAAAAGGCATATATATATATATATATATATATATATATATATATATATATATATAGTGAGTGAGAGGGGAAAGGCAGATATATATATATATATATATATATATATATATATATATATATATGGATATAGATCCTACAGTATGAAAAATACTTATATACAATTATGCTGTTTTAATTTTAATATGCCAACGTCGGACGTTTCGGGCTAATAAACCATCTTCAGGACATATTGATAAATTATAACATTATCAATACAACATGACAAAGACGATGTACATAAGAACAAGACTTATCAAAACAGATATAAGGATTTTTGTTTGTTTATTTCCGTATATATTTTTCTTCATATATATATATATATATATATATATATATATATGATAGGGGATTCAATAGATATATGCAAATGGGTGATTAACACAGAATGAGAACAGCAAGAGATATAGACAGAATTTGGAGATCGATAAATATTGACAAAAAGGAAAACCGATAACGAAGAGAAAAACAACGAGATCGACAGCTAGGGAGATCAGAAATTATTGGTATTGAGGTATTGATAAATATTGACTGAAAAAGAAAATATATATATATATATATATATATATATATATTTTTCGTGACGGACGTGTTTCGTTCTTTAGGACTTGATCGGTCTAAAGAGATGCTTACCTTGATAAAACTACACATCAGGGGAGACACTGAAATATTAATCTTTTAATTATGTTATATTAAAAATGGTATATAATTTTCTTACCCCCCCCATAGATATTTAGGGCGCGATGGATAAATTTTCGTCTAAGTTCCGCAGTAAAGAAAATAACAATGGCATCTCATTTTAACAGAAATATACGCAAAAATATCTCGAAATACTAAAGAGTAAATAATTCAATAATCGCCTGCAACTCTTCTGGATGTTCTTGTTTAAGTTGGTGAATGCTGCCATAATCCTTGCCCTCTGTTCATTTTTGGTTTTACAAGGAGTTTTGTTGTTGTCTACCTCAACTGCGCTTCAAGCATAATTATCAAGGTGGTTGCAGTCTAAGGAGTTTCGTGGCCAGTTGTGGAAATGGAGCCAAAGGGATAGATGTAAAATTAAATTCAAATTAAATAGAACATTTTTCACAAGTTAAAGTATTTTAAATTCCTCGTTTATTTTTTTTTATTTCTGTGAGTCATCAATATTATCCAATAAAGGAATTTTATTAAACACCAAAAAGAGTGCTAAACTTCTATTTAATATCAGTCGTCCTATATACTGTTGTGGATGCTTCAAGAGACAATAGAGCGTTCTACAGAATAACCTGCTAATACCAAGGACACATTTTATAAGCAACGAAGAGGTTTTAATGAAAATGAAAAGACCATTTCTAATCAGAATCAGAGAGTGACAGATGAATTTTTCGAAACTGGTCTTAGAGCATCTTGTTCATGTAAATGTAAGAATATTTTCAGAGAATCCTCAAGAGTGAAAGAGATTTTAAGGGGATCTTGAAAGGGTTTATATTTCTTCTTCTTTATGTGCCATGTGCCATGAGGAAGTAGACGATCATGGCTCTCCACAAGTTCCACTCCTTTGTTTGTTTTAGCCTATTTTTATTTCTAAACCCTGTTCCGCCGTCCATTTCTTTAATAGTGTTTGAAATGAAATTCCAGGACAGAACCCAAGCATCAAATATCAGTTGGACACGGCTGACAATTATTTTTATGCGTCACACAGAATTCACGAAGAATATTTTCATACACACACACATACACACACACACACACAAACGAACACACACACTGGACTATGTTGACATATCAATGTCTGTAATCTAATGATAAAAAATATCTATTTTACACCACAATCATTTATTTCCAAATATAATTTATATTCCCAATATATAATATAATAAGAATGCAATTAAGCCAATTGTTCTGCATTAAATTCGTATAAAATTTATGCCGTGAAAAAATAGCCCCAGGTTACGAACTTATTGATCCTGACACGTAAATATTTATTATGATCAATTTCTTTCTGCTAATCCGTCGTGTGCATATATATATATATATATATATATATATATTCGCAGACAGTCCTGTTTCGCTGTATCACAGCATCTCAATGTGACTAGACAACCGGACCGAAACCCAACTGATTTGGTGTCAGTCAGAGCTTCTTCCACTGAGCCATTCTCACTCGAGAATGAGTCTGCCAAATCTAGTTAAATAGTTAATGTTTACATTTACACACATATATATATATATATATATATATATATATATATATATATATATATATATATATATATATATATATGAATACATTAACAGTTACGTAATCTAATGATAAAAGGCAACAAAGCCACTAAGACTCAAAGGGTTACTGTATGTTTGAGAATATGAGAAAATATACTCTTAAGAAGAAAGAACATTAAAAGAACAACAATTAAGAGGACAAGATTAGATTTTTTAAGATCAAAATTGACTGGGAAGCAACAAGCCAAAAGAGAGGGAAATTCAATAGAAGAAACTGTTTTCATAGAATTTAGGGTTACATCTAGCCATCCCAAATGTAAAATGATGAAACCTTGCTCAGATTGAAATGATTAAACAAATATATATCTGATTTCCTTGGTTTGGGTCTTGTGAAAATCAGAAAGATTGACCCAGTGGAACAAACAAGAGATATAGGAGAAACAGAATAAGAGGACTCCAGTTCAAAATTCCAAGGAAGTTGCCGATTACGAAGACAGACACCTGAAGAAAACCCATGGACAGAAGTGCCGAAACGTTATGAGTATAACAATCATGATGAATTAAATCGGAAATGTATAGAACAGCGTATTCCGATCGTCGCGTGCAATATCAACCGGTTACCGCTTCTTTTATCTGCCTTGACTCTTCAAGACATGGACGATCATGGTTTTTCCAAACTTTCTATTCCTTGTGACGCTTAGCAGTTTTTCTACTTTTGGTAAGTAATTGGGATCAGATTTGAAGATTGGGCGCGCGGGATTAAATTGTATATAAGAAAAAAATTACAGCAGGTTTCATTTTATCCGCTAATATGCATCCATTACAATTATATGATGGCGACTATCGATCTGAATTTTTTTTTACTTCTTCAACGAACCGCGTCCCTTTATGACATAAGCAATCATGGCTTTCCAAAGATTCCGTTTCCTTGTGACCCTTAGCAGATTTTATCAACCATTCTACCATCCATTCACACAATCACGTCAGCGAATTTGTTCACTGCTTTTTTTCTCGCCCTCAGTATGCTTCGCGAGGATTAAGTTTTCCAAAGCATTTTCCTCGACATGTGTCTAAAAATTTCAGTATCTTTTCCGAATTCTCAGCATAAGCGTTTTTTTTTTGTTGCTATTTCCTTTAAACCTTTCTTGTTTTATACCCGTTCTGTTCATAGAATTCTCAGTATACTTCTGTAGATCCACGTTTCTGTTGCCTCAAGTTTTCTCTTCATCTGTGGCATGATTGCTCAGCATTCACTGCTATATAAGAGAATGAATATCACATAGCAATCCAGAAATTTAATCGACCAAGAAAAGATTGAAATATTGATGGCGCTAATAAATTCCTGTGTAATATTCCCTGTACTGATTAAGTTTTAGATTGCCGAGGCCATTAATGCTCAAATAAAAAAGCAAATAATATAAATCGAATATAAAGAAATGGTTTGAATTATCCACGGTTTTAACAATGCTGGCATTAAACAGACCAAATGTATGCTAGATAAGTGAAGAAGGAAGAAAAGTCACTGAATTCTGACTTTTTATGCTGCTGCGTGATACACAAGCGTTAAATTATTCGCAGACTCTTCTTGGAAAGTAACCTAAAGGGAAAAGGAAGTATAAGAGGCTGTAAACGACTTGGAATCGTGTCTAAAGATAAAAGAAGTGCCTGATAGGAATCGGCTTCGGAAGACAGTAATTGTGTTGGTGCTGAGAGAAGAAAGAAGAGAGGTAAGGAAAAAGCAAGGTCCGAAACTGAAGAAAGGGGTCAGCATTTTGCTTTACTCATTAGACAAAGGACCGAACGGAAATTTGTCAAACAAAATGATTTGAAGTTATGGAGATTAAATAAAAAATGATGAAATGTTGTGATCAACTGTCGACTTTCTCCAGTCATGATGTTTTTTGCAACATACATAAAGATATATAAATTTTCTAAGCATAGCTTAGATGTGACACAAGGCCGAAATTATGGGAGGATCGATGAAGATCGAATTCACTACTCAGTCGCAATTGTTCAAGAGAGACAAGATTACTAACCATTACACCAACATGATTTTATAGGCGTAACTGAGATGCGGCACAAGGCCGAAAGTATGGGACACTCAGTGAGGATCAAACTCTCTCGTAATTAATCTAGTGAGACAAGCTTGCAAACATGAAGCCAAGAAGGCGAAATGAGTTCCTTTACTGGAAGTTGGCTTCACCTCTGTATTGATAGAGGGTAAAAATCGTTCTCTATGATGACTAAAAGTCAACAGTTTTATTTTGGAGGCGTGAAAATGTACAGGTACAGTATTATGGTGGATAATTCATATTTGAAATACATGCCCAATTTTTATTTATTTATTAAGCAATGTATATTACGTCTATTTGAGTAAGCATTCGAGAAATCATAGAAAATTCGTTCCCCGGAAGGGCCCGAACATGCATCCCCCTTTGTAGGAGAAACCAGCGTTTGCTCCATTTTGCTTTAACGCTCGGATAGGAAGAACGTCACATCAAACAAGGTTCTATTTTTTTCTTTTCAAGGAAAACACAGTCTCTGCTGTCAGATTAAACGCACCATTTTTTATTTATTTAATAGAAAAGCCGATAGTTGTACATAAATATAGCGTTTATTTTAAATAACAATTCTCCCCTATTAACGTTTAAAGTAATAAAAAAGAAATCCATTGATTCTTTAGAAAGGTCTTTGTTTACGTTTCGGGTTCTAAATTAAAAAGATATGGACTTTCGAGAAAATAATCTTATTGAAGAGGATGTGCTTCCCTTTAAAAGAGAAAACCGGATCTTATATTCTGTGAAGTCCTTCGTGTCCGAGCGGTAAAGCACAGTAGTTATGTTATCTTAAAGTTGTTACAGAGTGAAATTATCTATTTAGTGCTGGGTATGACGATAAACTAAATCCGGCAACGAGGCCTCTGATTAGGAGATTAAAGGTTTTGAGGAGTGTTGAATGACCTCTTAATAGCACTTGTTTCTAGATCTCCCCTGACCCAGGATGGTAGCACCTGTTAGGGTTCCATCTATGGGCAAATTGTGAAGCCCCCCCCCAACCAAAAAAAACCTATGAAAGTATAAAGATACGTTTTTTTTATAGCGAAAAAGCCAACAATATATATTTTTTATATAAAAATGACATACAATACCTATTAATAGTAAAATGACCAACAATACATCAATCGACATGAAACAACTCTTTCGTGATATTAATCCACAGTTTCATAAAGAAGTCAAACAATATTCCAAAATATAACTTCAACAAATCTACAACATAAAACACACATATCACTGCCGCAATTAATTATATTCATACAAACATTTATATGCACAAAAGCTGAGAATCATCTACCATGTATTCAATTGTGAAAGCAGAATAAATTCATTATTACTTCAAATCTCCCAAGAAAATGAAATTCCAGCATTAAATGACCCATAAAGGAGTTGATAAGCCGTTAAACAAAAAAAAAAAAATCAAATCAAATCAATTTATCTATTTTGACTACCTTCTGACTTACACTGCCACTTTAAAAATAAAAAAATAGATTTTAACTCTCCATTTTAAAATAAAACAGTCATATTTAGCTGAGATTTCTGAAGATATTTTAGATAGATATCTACGCTAAATATTATATATCTCCCAAGTTTTTTTGGTCTTGTTTACTATGTAACCATTTAATAAATAATTTTAGCATCTAATGTATTGAGGCACGGTAGAGCAATGGGTAGCGGATCGGATTGAGGAATCGGAGAGCCGTGTTCGAATTTCAGTCGAATCCCTTGCCTTCTCTTACGTGCTAATACCCTTGGGAAAGGTATGAATCCTCTTTTTCTCCCTCCAGCTATGGGTAAATAGTAGGACAGACTGGGTTCTATAGCCTCGGATGGCAACTGGTCTCTTGCAGAAAGAAATGGCAACGTACTGCGGGTGAAAAAAAATCTGCCTCGTCAGTCATGTATCGAAAGACTGAGTTATGGTATTTATCAATTCACCCACAGGAATTGAATGTGGCACAAGGCCTTTTTAATGTGGGTATGTCTGAGCCCGTAGGCCCAGCCAAAAATAAAACCCATCTAAACCCGTCCAAGCGGGCTAGTTCCGTCAACCTCCCCGAACGAAACCCCACCCTTCGGCGGAGCCTCGTCCGGGTTCCTCTCTGCAAGCAGAGAGTTCGACAGACACCCGACCCGGCAGCTCACAAAGCGCAGATACTACACTTTGATCCTAGCCACCGAGCGGGTATTCTTTTTATTGACTGAGTTATATTAACTAGACGTTTTTTAACTGAAGTACACACAATACAAAGTAGAGAATTTTTGAATGAGGTGCGTGATATGAACGTAAAAAGAAGTACGGGAATACGGAAGATATATAACTTGCTTATCGATTAAGTTAAGCATTGCAGTGTAAGGAGAGTCATCCACACTGCAGTTTGTTCAACAACATAGTGTTTTTTTTTAGGAAGAAGCTTTTGGAGTGAAAGATTCTTCTTACCAAAGGAATACGAAGGGAGTGGGCTGATTCAACCCCGTGGACGTAGCAGGGCTGCTAAGGTCGGAACTGGTGGCACTAAAGAATGGAGCCCGTCTGAACAGTTGTCATGGAAGTACCGATAGGGTAACAATAGTACTGTAATGTTACGTCTGTGAGCAAATGGCTCTAAGCTGGTCTATAAGTCATTTTCCACAAAAGGTCGCTTAAACGATCTTGAACTCTGCCAGTGCTGCAAAATGAGAACTGGATTAAAAGAAAGTATTCCATTTACAGCGATATATTTCAATTAATTTTTCAACATTTTTAACAAAGGATAAGCAGAGATAATCCTGTAATCCGAAAATAACGCTGTGTAACACAATTGTTGTCTTTGGGTTGCAACTTTTATCTCCTATTTGCTTACGCATTAAAAATTGTTAATATTTCTTTCAAACTTTGCTTTTGTGACCAGGATACTAATATGCCTGAAATTTACCTATTACCATTGGGAAAACTGGTGAATGGATACATTCTCGTTTACGCAAAGTAGGAATAAACGACATATGATTGAAAAGTAGTACTTACTTATTCTAGGATTACACAAGAAAAAAGTCCACAAATTCGGAAGTGTGATTTACACTTATACACTAAATTAGTTTCACGAATCCTCTCCTAAATATATAGACACCCAGTCTCCCATCATGTTTCCTTATACGATCCTTGGTAGAAATAAATTGAATTTTTAGACTTACGTTTCCTGTATTTTTACTTGCCAGAACATTCTAGAAATTTTTGAAACTTTTAAGAACTTCTCAAAAGTTCTAGAAAGTTCTAGAAAATTCTTTTTCAGCAACTCAGCGCTGGATCTGTTTGGAATATAATGAAAAACTGGTTAGTTTCAAACATCGATGTCCAGGTTTCAAAAGCAAATTTTGAAATGAATAATAGTTATTTCCTTTGCTTTTTAGACAGAAGCAATTTGGAAATAACACTTACGGACAAAAGACAAAAAAAAAAATGTCAAGATTTTGTATCACTATGTTGATCAAATTATATATCAAAATATCCGTCATTTCTTTTTTTCGTTATGGTATAAGAATTATAAAAAAACATGGACTTTTTGACATTTCAATGGATTTTTTAGTCTTTCTGTGAGTCTCTTTCAAGGCACATTTATTAATGAACATTACATTAAGAGCTAGACGCACATTTATATATGCTAAAACCTCCGGATATCATTTTTAATACTTATATCTTAAGGTCTCAGTGACATTCATTCTACCATCATTGTCCCTATGCTAACCATGAGACTGACATTTTGAACTCTACCATTTTTATGGGGAGTCTTAGAAAACAGATCTCGAAAAGGAAAGAAGGTTGTTAATGGTAAGCCAAAGTGAACAAATATGAGTACTTGAATCACTTAAATCTTTTTTGTTTTATCTGGTATTTTTATTTGAAAGAATCCTTTCTGTATATTATTTAGTATCTTCTTTCTTCATTCAAAATGAGAGGCTCTTCGTGCATAATTCTTTCTTTTTTTCGTTCTTTCATTTTACTTTCAATCTTTTTTTCTTTTTGCCCTCTCATTATTTCCTTTTTTTTCTTTTACACTTTCATTCTTTTTTTTTCTCCTTTTTTTCTTTCTTTTTCCTTTTTCTTTTAGACTTTCACTTTTTTTCGTTCCGTCTGACTTTTTCTTTCTTCCTTTTTTCTATCTTTTACACTTTGATTCTTTTCCTTTCATTATTTCACACTTTCATTCTTTTTTCTTTCTTCTTTTTTCTTTCATTCTTTGTTTCTTGTACACTTTCTTTCTTTTACACTTTCATTCTTTTTCTTTCTTTCTTTTACACTTTCGTACTTTTTTCTTTCTTCTTTTCTATTACACGTTCATTGTTTTTCTTTCTTTTACACTTTTATACTTTTCTTTTCATTCTTTCATTCTCTTTCATTCTTACTTTATCTTACTTTCTTTTACACTTTCATTATTTTCCTTTCATTCTTTTACACTTTCATTCTTTCTTCTTTCTTTTACACTTTCATTCTTTTTCTTTCTTTTACACTTTCATTCTTTTACACTTTCATTCTTTTTTCTTTCTTTTACACTTTCATTCTTCCTTTCGTGTATACTTTCTTTCTTTTTCTTACTTTCTTTTTTCTTTTTCTTTTTCTTACTTTCTTTTTTCTTTCTTTCTTTTACACTTTCATCCTTTTTTCTTCCTTTTATACTTTCGTTCTTTTTTCTTTCTTACTTTTTTCTTTCACACTTTCATTGTTTTTCTTTCATTCTTTCTC